CGCCTCCAAGGGGTTGCTGGGGGGGGGGCCAGCAAGGCTGGCCACCTGGGGGAGGAAGACAGCTCACCCAGCAGCCAGGGGGACTGGGCAGCATGTCCCCTAGGAGGAGCTGCCATCCCCCCTCATTCCCTCCCTCACAAGGAGACACAGGGGGGCAGGCAAGCTGGCTGGTGGGGCGAGGGAACCCCCCCCCCCCGGGGGGCTGTAGAACCAAGGTCAGGTACTCGAGGTCAGAGCCAGAGGCAGGAGCTGAACAAGGCTGGAGGAGAGCAGGGATAGGGCTGGGAATAAGGCAGGCACCCAGGAGAGGCAGGCACTAAGGAGAGATCACAGCTTGGGGCTGGCTTTAAGAGCAGGTCTGCTGATGCCCAAAGCACCTGACTGACTGAAAGGCAATTAGTGTTTAGCTGCTGAGCAGCAAGCTGGCCCCGGGCTCAGCTGCAGGCCTTGACTCCTGACACCAGGCACCTGACAGAAACTCACCTTGTTTCCTGTCAGCTTGTCTGCCTGTGCATCTGCCTCCTCTGAGCTCCCCAACTCCTCAGCAGCCTAGGCCCCCAGGCAGACCGCAGGCAGCCAGGTCCCCAAGGAGTCAGCTCACAGAACATGCTGAAAAATTCCCTTTAGGGTCTCCTGAAACAGGACGTCCCAGGCTCTGTCTCTCAATTCAGGATGAAAATTTCCAAAATCTCTGAAACTTTTCACAGGAGGGAGATTGCTTTCCAGGCACCCCTGATGGCAAACACCTCATGCCCTGGAGTGGAGCAGCAGATGTGCCCTAAGTGCTCATCCTCCCTCCAACCTCCTGATGCCCTGCTGTCCACTGGCTCCTCGCTGCTCCCTCCCCTTCTCCCTTGTTCTTACAGCCAGTAAAAAGTGGGTGAGCCATGGCCCCCCAGACAGCTCTATTTCCACTGCCCCTGGGCCTGGAACACCACACACCTAAGTGGGTTCCTTAGCGGCCCAGCCTCTTGCTGGAAGCGAGCATGATTACAGAGAAAGGCCAGTTGGGGTGTGGTAATGGGTGTTTTTACATGCTGTCTGAAGGCTGACGTTTGTGTGATCTAGCTCAAAATATCCGTGGCTGGGATCATGGGCTTTGTGATACAACTTGATTGTGCTTTAGCTCATGTCATTTCCAGTCAAGGTGATAGTAAAGGATGATGGAGGGGGGCAGAAGGAAAAAAAAATTCTAGGTCAGTGATTCTCAAAGTGTGCTCCCTGGCTACCGACCTGTGCAGGTGGGCCACAGGTTTAGGACTCACCCCCCCAAAGCAGGGAGCCTGCACTTGTGCTCCTACCCCCGCCCCTCACCATGGATCCAGTCTGCGGGGGAAGGAAGCGACTCCACACTCAGCTGCTCCCTTTGGAGGAATGGCAGCGCAGGAAACCACTCACATGAAGGCTTTACCTGCTGCTCCCATTGGCCTTCTCTCCCTCTTGGGACCAGACCCTGCACCCTTATCTTCCTCACAAACCCCTTCTCTTGCCAAACCCCCTGACCTTCAGCCCACTCCTGCACCCTACCTCCCACCCAGATCCCCCCCACACTCAGCCCGCTCCTGCACCCATTTTGGCATCTTGGGTGGTTGGCTGGTGACTGTGGAAAGGTCTGCCTTGAGCAGGATGAGCTGCAGGCCAAAAAATTTGAGAACTGCTGTCGGAGGGTGATATTTGAGCAAAGTAAAAGGCATAAATGACCCACAGAAAACACACAGTGGAGAGAGCAGGGCAGGGAACACTGACCTCACTCAGCCCGCTCCTGCACCCATTTTGGCATCTTGGGTGGTTGGCTGGTGACTGTGGAAAGGTCTGCCTTGAGCAGGATGAGCTGCAGGCCAAAAAATTTGAGAACTGCTGTCGGAGGGTGATATTTGAGCAAAGTAAAAGGCATAAATGACCCACAGAAAACACACAGTGGAGAGAGCAGGGCAGGGAACACTGACCTCATTCTACCTCAGCACCAATGAAAACCCAATCCAGACCTCAGCAGCATGGCCTCTGTAAACCCCACTGCCCTAATTACAACCAGATTCACTTCCAGCTGTCTCTTTTACCCACTGTTTAACATCTTAGAACAAGGTTGCTGTAGAATTTGTAGGTAAGAAATGTCATTCTGGAGTCCTCCAGTTTTTTGTGCTGCCCAAAGTTCTTCTACAGAAGAATACTCTGGGAATGATGGACATGAAGACCAGCAGCTATATTTAAAGGTAACACAGTTGCTCTGGGATACACTGACAACAGAGGAGAATGTGTTCCCTCATGAGTTTTTACACAAATGCACTGCGAAGCCCTACTGTACAGGAGTAGAACAGTTTGTATGGGGTGCAACAGTGAAACCAAAGCAAAAAAAAAAAAAGCCCCAACAACATCTAACACCTCATAAACCTCCAATAATTCCAACCCTGTAACATTTAGCAACAAATTGTTGTTACGCATTGCCAGTGAAAGCTGTAGACATGGCACTTACCACCATCCTGGTGCGAGAAGCTCTGTAAAGACAAAAATATGGGGAATCGGTTAGGCCTTCATGTGAAGGGAAGTCTCCAAGTTCTTACTCTAGAATTATCTTGTTTGCTGTGTGCCTCTTTAAGACCCTCAGGGGTGGGAGGGAAGGAGGGACGAGGAGTACTGAGGTCTAAAGCTACGTCCATACGCTATCAGCAGTATGTAGGGAACATATCTGTGAATGTCACAGTGAAAAGCAAGCGGTGTCCACACTGTGGTGTGGTGACGTAATAGTGAAAGTCTCCGGCAGTGGGGGAAGACTCAGCCTTCCCCAGCTGCCTCCCCTCAGCCAAAACTTTCCCTGTAGTGGGAAAATCTCCACCCGCAGGACACTACGCTGCTAAAAAAGGCAGTGTAAATGAGGAGACACAGCTTAGGTGAGTAGAAAGCTGTGCGGTGTATGCTCACATACACACCTACCCCCTTCAGGCCTGACTTCCCTCACCTATGTGGTGTGTTGTCAACTACACTGCTATTTACACCAGTGCTAGGAGGGGCAGGGTGTATGTGTATGTGCCAACTGAAGCTTGTTTTCAGGGTAACTAGGGGGTGAGAAGAAGGTGGTGCTTAGTGTACATGACATGACAACGCCTACTGAACAAGGTAGGAAGCAATATTCTACAGCCGTGATGTCCAACCAATTCTGAAGCAGTAGCCACTATAGCGAATTAGCCACACTCACCCGGCCAAACATCCACATTGTTCAAACCAACTAGCCACACTCAACTGGCCAAATAGCCACATGGGGCTACTGGCTAGCGTGTTGGACACCACAGTTCTAGAGTGTGGAAGGTGATCTGGGTCCTAACTCAGCTACAGGACAAAGGAGTGAACATAAGAACGGTCATACTGGGTCAGACCAAAGGTCCATCTAGCCCAGTATCCTGTCTGCTGACAGTGGCCAATGCCAGGTGCCCCAGAAAGAGGAAACGCAACAGGTAATCCTCATGCGATCCCTCTCCTGTCACCCATTTCCAGACAGAGGGATGCCATTCCTACCCATCCTGGCTAATAGACATTGATGGACCTAACCTCCATGAATCTATCTAGCTCTTTTTTGAACTCTGTTAAAGTCCTAGCCTTCACCACATCCTCTGGCAAGGAATTCCACAGGTTGACTGTGTGTTGAGTGAAGAAAAACGTTCTTTTGTTTGTTTTAAACCTGCTGCATATTAATTTCATTTAGTGACCCCCAGTTCTTATATTGTGGGAATAAGTAAATAACTTTTGCTTATTCACTTTTTCCACACCAGTCATGATTTTATAGACCTCTATCATATCCCCCCTTAGTCTCCTCTTTTCTAAGCTGAAAAGTCCAAGTCTTTTTAATCTCTCTTCACATGGGACCCATTCCAAACCCCTAATCATTTTTGTTTCCCTTTTCTGAACCTTTTCCAATGCCGGTATATCTTTTTTGAGATGAGTGAGTCCAACAAAGGGGAGAATACATACCCAGCTACTTCCAGGACAGTCTATTGATGTTCAGGTGCATTTCTGGGCTCCCTGAAGGGGACATTTTTCTCCAACCAGATTTTTTATTATCTGTCTGTTGTCTCCTTAAGGGTGGTTGCAGGATTCCTGTACTTTCTCTCCAGTGAAATGGTGAGATTTCCCATCCCCTATCTCTCCTCAAAATATCAATGGCACATCCTAAAAAAGCTTAGGAAGTCCATCTCTCTTTGGAAAGGCAGGTGAATAACAAAACAGACTGTCCTAGATAAGTGGGTTTGAAAGCTCTGGAGATTTTGATCTTGCCCGGTCCACTTATTATATTCTCTACAGCTATTCTCCCACTGTGCAAAGCACATAACACCGCCCACGCCGCTTTCAATCAGTACTATACCATGGCTCTTTGAGGCTCTATTGCTGTACCTTTTGGAAGTCCTCAAAGGATTTCTCCGTCTCCTTCAGTTTCTCCAAGATGATTTGCTCTTTGGCAGATATCTGGGATTCTTCACTTTCGAGCTTCTCTATTTCTTGTTCCAGCCTGGAAGACACGGAGAAAACATCCATCAGTTATTTCGGTGGCCCACTAGGTATCTGAAAGCAGCATCACCCTGGTAAGTGAGCCCTGGCTTGCCAGCTGTGAAGGTGTAATCGGGAGCTTAACACATATCAGGACACAGCAAGGGAGTTTCAAAATCTTGTTCAAAAATCGTTTCTTGGCATAGGAGGAAGTTAGAGGGAAGGCTGAGCTTAGTGCATTTGTGGTATAGAAAGAGGTGGAATTTTGGCTGTGATGGGCTTTTCTCGGAACATTTGTGGTTTAATTTAACACCCCCCTACACACACTTCCTGTTCCAGTTCCTGGGCACACATTTTCATTTTGGAAATCTCAGTAGGGTAGGCATAGAAACACGCAATGCTACTTGGAGGAAAGCTCTCCAAATCCGTCCACACCATAAAGGACAGAACTTACAGCAGCTGTTGGAGGTTGGCAGTGCACCAGCCCCATTGGTCGTATTTTCTCAACCTGCACAGTCAGGAGCGGATGAGAATTTTGTGGGGCCCCCTTTGGAGAAAAAATAGAAAAAAGCGTCAAATGTGCAGATTGAAGGCTATTTTCATACTAAATGTGAATTGGATAAATTTGATAGAAACTTAATTTAGTTGGATAATTTTTATTTTAATTATATTGTAATTCATTCTTAAACAAAATTCTGCATTAATAATTACAAATTTTCCTTTAATTATTTTGTAATTTTGGCTGAAACAGAGTAGCCAGGCTGCCATTTTGACCCTCATCTCTTGTGATCCTAGGCGGGCTTGGACAAGCATCCGCCCCTGGAGCAGAGAAGGAAACCCTTGCTAGAGCAAAGCTAACCTGACAGGGGCTCTCAGCAGCCTGCCCCAGGACAGACCCTCTCTCCAGGTTGCCCATTAGCCCGGCGAGGTTAGAGTGCGGCGGAGGGATACCGCCCGCCTGCCTTTTTTGGGGGCAAAATAGGGCCGGGAGAAGTGAAGTTGGGAGAAGTTTGCCCGGCAGAGCAGAGGGGAAAGGGCCACCACAAGGGGGGCTCGCTCTGCAGGCTCAGCCCTGGCCGGGTTATGGCAGCGCCGCGTGGCTGCAGACACTTGGCTGCCGGCTGCCTGCTGCTGGGGCTCTGAGGGCTGAGCACAGACGCTGCAGTAAGTGCCACTGGCCGCCCCCATGTCCTGGGGCTCTGCTCTGGGCACCAGGGGCTCCTTCCCCCCTCGGCAGTGTCTTGTGTTTATAACCCGGGTAACCCAAAACCGCCGGGATGGGCGCTTGGGGAGCTTTCGGCTGCTTAAAAATAGGCCCGTTGCTGCTCCTTGGCCCCCCGCCCTCCTGGCCATGGTGATGAGCTACAGCGCAACACCCCCTCCAGCGCTCGCCACTCTCCGAAAGGCGCGGCGCGGCGCAACAGAGCGAACTGGGGAGGGGTGATGACCCTGCATTCAGGTGTCTTAGGTGGCCTGATCGTGTGTGTGTGTAAGGGGGGATGTCGTTCTGGATCCCAGCAGCCATCCGCCCCGGGGCTAGCTGTGATGAGCCACACACGGGCAGGCGATGTGTTCTCTCGCGCTCCACATGAGATTCCTTCCTCCCCTCGTGCTCTCTTGCGAGTTGAACTGGCAACCTGGGAGGGGAGCCTGAGGCTGTGAGAGAGAAAGAGGCGGCTGACCCCGGGGGCTGTGTCTGCGCTTCAGCTTCGCTCTTAACCTAGCACCAACGTGGCGGGAGGCTGGCTCCCCAGGGAAGTGGGTGAGAGATGTGATGTCATCTAAAAACACCGGCGCTGGCGCGGGGCCTATTGAAGCGCGGGGCCCCGGGGCGGCGCGCCGGCAAAATCTTGTTCAAAAATCGTTTCTTGGCATAGGAGGAAGTTAGAGGGAAGGCTGAGCTTAGTGCATTTGTGGTATAGAAAGAGGTGGAATTTTGGCTGTGATGGGCTTTTCTCGGAACATTTGTGGTTTAATTTAACACCCCCCTACACACACTTCCTGTTCCAGTTCCTGGGCACACATTTTCATTTTGGAAATCTCAGTAGGGTAGGCATAGAAACACGCAATGCTACTTGGAGGAAAGCTCTCCAAATCCGTCCACACCATAAAGGACAGAACTTACAGCAGCTGTTGGAGGTTGGCAGTGCACCAGCCCCATTGGTCGTATTTTCTCAACCTGCACAGTCAGGAGCGGATGAGAATTTTGCGGGGCCCAGGGCAGCACAATTTTGTGGGGCCCCCTTTGGAGAAAAAATAGAAAAAAGCGTCAAATGTGCAGATTGAAGGCTATTTTCATACTAAATGTGAATTGGATAAATTTGATAGAAACTTAATTTAGTTGGATAATTTTTATTTTAATTATATTGTAATTCATTCTTAAACAAAATTCTGCATTAATAATTACAAATTTTCCTTTAATTATTTTGTAATTTTGGCTGAAACAGAGTAGCCAGGCTGCCATTTTGACCCTCATCTCTTGTGATCCTAGGCGGGCTTGGACAAGCATCCGCCCCTGGAGCAGAGAAGGAAACCCTTGCTAGAGCAAAGCTAACCTGACAGGGGCTCTCAGCAGCCTGCCCCAGGACAGGCCTCTCTCCAGGTTGCCCATTAGCCCGGCGAGGTTAGAGTGCGGCGGAGGGATACCGCCCGCCCGCCTTTTGGGGGCAAAATAGGGCCGGGAGAAGTGAAGTTGGGAGAAGTTTGCCCGGCGGAGCAGAGGGGAAGGGGCCGCCACAAGGGGGGCTCGCTCCACAGGCTCAGCCCTGGCCGGGCTATGGCAGCGCCGCGTGGCTGCAGCTGCTGAGCACATACGCTGCAGTAAGTGCCACTGGCCTCCCCACCCTCCCCCATGCCCTGGGGCTCCGCTCTGGGCACCGGGGGCTCCCTCCCCTCTCGGCAGTGTCTTGTGTTTATAACCCGGGTAACCCAAAACCGCCGGGATGGGTGCTTTGGGGAGCTTTTGGCTGCTTAAAAATAGGCGCGTTGCTGCTCCTTGGCCCCCCGCCCTCCTGGCCACGGTGATGAGCTAAATCGCAACACCCCTTCCAGCGCTCGCCACTCTCCGAGAGGCGCGGTGCGCAGGGCAGTGGCAGGGCGCGACAGAGCCAAGTGGGGAGGGGTGATGACCCTGCATTCGGGTGTCTTCAGGTGGCCTGATCTCGTGTGTGTCTGTGTGTGTCTCTGTGTGTGTGTGTGTAAGGGGGGATGTCATTCTAGATCCCAGCAGCCATCCGCCCCGGGGCGAGCTGTGATGAGCCACACACGGGCAGGCGATGTGTTCTCTCGCGCTCCACATGAGATTCCTTCCTCCCCTCGTGCTCTCTTGCGAGTTGAACTGGCAACCTGGGAGGGGAGCCTGAGGCTGTGAGAGAGAAAGAGGCGGCTGACCCCGGGGGCTGCTGTGTCTGAGCTTCAGCTTCGCTCTTAACCTAGCACAAACGTGGCGGGAGGCTGGCTCCCCAGGGAAGTGGGTGAGAGATGTGATGTCATCTAAAAACACCGGCGCTGGCGCGGGGCCTATTGAAGCGCGGGGCCTGGGGCAGCCGCCCCGCTCGCCCTGCCCTATATCCGCCGCTGTGCACAGTATTCATTTCCAGCAGAAAGAGCCTTCACTTGGGTAGGATTCTCAGTTCCATTTTTCTACCTTTCCCATTTTTATTGTATGATCATGAGGGCAGAAATTTATTTTCCTGCAGGTCATACAGACCATGACCTGCCTAGAAAAGCCATGGTGAAGGTTTCCTAGAAAAGCTAAATACCCACAGTGCACACTGGTTTCACTGAGAGTCAGCACTCTTCAAAGGAGGTCCAAGAGGATATTCTATTGTAGATCTATAGGGCCAGATCCTCCACTGTTGTAAGTCAGGCTAACTCCATTGACTTCAGTGGTTTACACCCCTGAAGGATCTAGTTCAGAATTTTTCTGGAGATGACGTACCCAAACTTACAACAATATTATCTTTATTCCTGCACCATCCATCAACACATAAATTGCCAGTGAACAAAGGCCAATGTTTTAAAACAGGGATGCCAAAAGCTCAGAAACCCCATTCATTTCAGTGAGAGCTATCGTTCTTCATCGCCTCTTATTCAGGGGCTACAATATGCATCTAAGACTCTCACAGTAGGCACTCAAAGGTGAAAGCCTGTTTCTTTCCTTGCAGGCATACAAGATAGCCAGCATGGCTGAAAATGCATTGCATTGCAAGGAGAGTCAGTCAGTCACTTATCAAAGCACATGCCTAGAGCACTCCTAACTCAGCAAATGAATCGGAAAGGGATATATCAGAAGTACCAGAGTCCTTGTCACAAATTAGCTAGATCCTGTCCTTTCATTCCCCAGCAACGCACTGTTACCCAGGCATGTTTATACCTCACAGATAAAGATATTTTAATTCCATGTACCTAGGGGCCTGATGAATTTACACTGCGGAGATGGGTGCACACATAACTAGTTTTTTTGGTGGAGTCAGTAGTTCAGTATTATGAATTCTCTACTAGTGCTTTCTGCTAGCCAAATGGTTCCAGGTGGCCCAGTTGATAGGGGGAAAAAATGTGCATGTGACAAAGCCAGAAAATTGCAGAGGGAGAATTAACTCCTTTCCCTTTCTAAACAAAGCAGTACTAGTCAATCTGTGACCCCATTGAAGTCAATGGAAGAAAATGTGACACTGGAATGAGTAAGAGTATTTAAATCTGGTGTGGAGAAATGCGGGGTGGTGGGAAGTGCATCAGTTCCTGGACTCCAGCTCACATCTTTGAAAAAGAGGGTTGGCATGGTTGTTTCAAGCCAGAAGAGAAAGTTTGTTTCAACCAGAAAAAACAAACCAAACCAATCCCTCCCCCCCAAACAAAAAGACAAAACAAAACCAACCAAACAAAAACCCCACAACCCTCTCAGATTCTGTTTTGATTTTCTTCTATTGCTTACTGGGCTGTCTTGCTGTCTTCGTTTTACTCCATGATGTCTCCCCCCTCCCCCCCTGCTCCATTCTCTCCCAAAGTCCCTACTGCTTTCAT